TAACTCAAAGAGCTACAACTTTGTTAGAAATACATCTTTTCCAATTCGGACTTTTACTATACCAAAAATGGGTCTCAATTTTCGGCTAAAAATCTGGAATATATCTTGTGCGAATTGGAAATTGATTTTGATAATATTCCATTCCTTTTTGACTTCTAATTGCTTCCAATCGACCCTTAGCACTCTTGAACCTTCATCGTGAGTCCCGACATAATTTTTGAGTATTTGCACTTTAGTACCTGAACTTTCACTTTCTTCCATTCTGGTTATTTTTCAATTGTTTCTCCTTATTTCCGCTACATTCATCACTTGTCCTGCAAAACATGAATTGTATAGAATTAAGCTATATTTCAACATATTAATCAATAATTACTTATGTTTTGACAGTAAAATAAGTATGTAAAAACGTACTTATCACAAGTTCACCAACAAATTGATTTGTTGGCACAACAAGTAGACATAGGCTTGGCTCTACTCTTGCATTGTGTGATCATATAGTATTTTTTTACTGTAATAAAAAAAAATCAATTAATTTTTATTTATTTATAGTGTGTTTGATTGATATTATTGAGAAAAGTATGTATTTTAAATAGTGATATGATAAGAAATATGTTGTTAAAAAGTAAGGAAAAATTATTGATGTGATAGAAAATATTATTTTATTGATATTTGCACGATTGAAAATGAGTTTTGAAAGAATGTATTTTGAAAGAATGTGTACCAAATAAAGGCTTAGTATTATTGTATTTTATTTAATGTTGAGCATGCAAAAAAAAAAGTGCATATGATCACTTGTGATAATATAAATTATGTATCTACATTAAGAAATACTGTGTAAGACAACTTATATTTTGGTTATAAAAATAAAATTGTGAGCAATGTATAAAGGTTGATATTTTGTATTAGAAGATTGTAGTGTTAACTGATTTACTATTTGTGATTGATATTGTCCTTATTGCAGAAATGATTTAATAAGACACTAATACACTTGGAGCGTATTGAATGTACCATCTGTTGAATTAAATTTTACAGCATGACCATGAAACAAATTAAACTTCACTTGATCGTCGAGTATTTTATCTAATTCCCTTGACAATGTTGCGTATATCTTTTCGTGAGTGATTATTTGATTCACCAATAAAGGATACCAATTTTGATTAATTAAATATAGCGGTGAGTTGGGAGATAGACAACAGACGTAGTAGCGAACACAAATTCATGTTGGAAGCATTGCCCGAAAAATATATCGAGTGATTACTTAAGTATTTTCTGTTACATGTTTATAAATTTCAGCTCAATATTTAGCGATGTCTAAATTTCGACATTTGTGATTAATTTATATGATCATTGAAGAAAATAAGACTTAAGTTACTGATAGTAATTTGAGGATAAAAAACTATCGAATTTTGGATGGTGATGAAATATATATACGGTAGGTTAGAGAATAATATTACATATGTTTTAGCTGATGTGATATTATATATTTCAATAGTGCAATCTTTGCTTTAGCGAAAGACAAAGACTAAAAATTAATTTGGTTAGTCGATGATCGAGTAGATATAATCTAATTGTTGGAGCTTCCATTATATATGTCCGAAAATATTTCTATGGTAGCTCGAAATAGTTTTGGACACATTTATAATTGTAATTAAAGCTCAGAAATTACATATGCAATCAAATCAATTGTAGCTTTATTTTACTTGGACTTGGTAAGTTTTTCTCCTATATATAAAACATATGGTGATCGAAAATATATAGAAAAAAAAGAGAGAAAATTAAAAATTGATAAGTGTGTTTTTGTACACTTATATAATACATAAATATGCTTATTATTGATAAAAATAAGCAAATTTCTACTCACAACTATGTAATTTTTGCTTTTATAGGTAAGAATCACCCAAAGAAAATAAAACAAGACAAAAGGAGGAAAATTGACTAAAAGTGTGCAAAATTATGAATTTGAGGACCACATTGTACAAGATCAACGTTGAGGGACCTATCATGCAATTACCTAAGGAACTTGGCTGCAAATAAAACCAAAAATTGGTTTTGGACAGAAACTGAGCGCCTAGGCGCCACTTTTAAAACTTGTGGATCATTTTAATTATTTTTTATAATTTTAGGGACTTAGATTGCAAATATTGAATTCTTTTATAACTTTGAAGTGTGACATCTGGGAGAGGGCTGTTGCTGCGTCATTTTTTTTTTTTCATCTTCTTTCCGTTGGTTTCATTTTTCATTTTCACTTTCTTCTTTCATTTTCTTTTCTTTTCCTTGTTAATTTATTGGTATTTTGGGGATACAAATCAAGAGCACAAAGAGAATACATTTAAGGATTTGAAGAAATATTTGGAAAAGTCAAGGCCAAGTTTCAAAAAAGGATTTTATCTATAACTTTGCATTTTCTCAATTATTGTGCCATTTTTGTAATGTATTGCTATCAATATTCTCATTTTTATCATTTGTATAACTTGGGCTAATTATTTGTGTTGGGATTTATGGTTGAAATTTAATCTAACTTTAATTAATTTTAATATTTGCCTTTTAATGTTAAAATACTTATTTTCATGTGTATTTACTATTGTGTTGAATGCTTTTAATTTATTTGACCATTAAATGATTGAATTTAGTGATTTTTACATCGTTCGAGAGAAAATTGTACATTTTAGACCAAATGGTAAATACTCTATGTTTGTGTAGGAGATAGAGATATACCCCTAACCCCAGGTGACCTATTGAGCCTTTTTCACAAATATTTAATGCGATTATTTGGTTTGAATCGACATAAAAATATAGTTTATTTAATCAATCAATTAGAGTTAATTTCGCTCGAGAGAGGTAATTAATTAAATTTGAAAAATCGAGTCTAACATCGTAAATAAGTAATTTATTAATTGACTTGTGGAGAAATTAATTAGGTGTTGGTTAAGTGAAACCATGAATCCCACTACGTTTTTCCTCCAAAATTTCCAAGTATTTATGTTTTCTTATTTTCCAACATCAAAATTTATTGTGTGTTTGTTTTATTGTTAAAATTAAATCGACTAAAGTTGTGTAATCGGAAGTAAATATTCCTCGAGGGAACGACAATCCGGACTCAAAAAGTCCACTTTATTACTTGAACGCGATCCGTCCACTTGCAGTATATAATTTTAGCGAACAAAAATCTTATTTTCTTGTTTTCTTGATTCTTTCTTGGTCCTTCCAGTTATAATTTAAATTTTCTATTTAATTAAAAGGAGGTATCCAAACGTTGGTGTAGTCTTGACTTTGCATAATAACATGGAAGGCTTAAACGTTTGAAGAGCTAAGGTTTTTTTAATCAAAAGTTGAAAGTTCGTTGATTATTGAATATACGAACAACTAGAATTAAGGAAAATTTTAGTTTCGAGGTAATTCTTGCTCCGCATTCCAACACCAACAATATGCATTGTTAGCAGTGATTGGGCATGTCATGAGGGATGGCAGTGGAGGACGCCATCGCGCCGTAGGAAGTGCAACTGCAAGACCATGGGTGAGTGGAATACTATATGAAAATTGAACTCAACATAATTGGCGGCTTAATTTCCAAAATTATTAGTGAAGTTTATTACCGGGATAACTTTTTTTCCTTATATCAAAGTAGTCATGTTTAACTCCCTTTAAAATAAAACAATTTATTTCTGATACTCATTTTTAATCATATATTTATATAATAAAATATTTTATACGTAAATGCTAAATTTTTTCTCACTTTTTAACCACAAATTTTCCAAAAAATCACTATTCAAAACATTATTTTTACAAAATAATGACCATCAAATAGGAGGTGAAACTTAACATGTCCAATCTATCGGGCAGGAGAACGGGACTGTATTGAATATACGAACAACTGGAATTCTGGAAAATTTTAGTTTCTAGGTAATTCTTGCTCCGCATCCCAACACCAACAATATGCATTGTTAGCAGTGATTGGGCATGTCATGAGGGATGGCAGTGGAGGACACCATCGCGCCGTAGGAAATGCAACTGCAAGACCATGGGTGAGAGGTATTGTTGGTGCAGCCACTATATACATGGCATCACCACAATGGGACGATTATGAATTCTATCTAGATGGGGTGATGATCTTATTCCGTTAGATAGGGGCTCACATACCAAAACCAACTTGTTTGCTCATTTGAATCATGAAAAACTAGGGGTTGAAGATTGAACATACGACATTTATGATGATCCTCCAAATTTTTACGAAGAACCGCCATCAAATTCATGAGGATTTCGAGAATGCATGGTTCACCAAGGAGATGGAGTTGGTTGGTATGGTTGTCCTTGTTATCGTTGCCAAATGTTACCTTCCCTTAGTAAACCAGTTAGTGAAATAAGTTTTGTAGAGATAAAAGTGCGGATAAGGGTAAAATCGGAGTTGTTGAAAATTGGACAATAACATTGTTGATCATAAATATAGACACAACCAGCATCGAGGACACAAATATAAACCAGAAAAAGTAAAGAACACAAGATTGTTTGAGCTCTCAAACAAAAATAAAAAATTTGAGATTATACAAAATCAACGTATAAAAAATTAAAAACATCTTAAGAATACCATATGAAAATTAAACTCAACATAATTGGCGGCTTAATTTCCAAAATTATTAGTCAAGTTTATTACCGGAATAACTTTTTTCCAAGCCCAACTTTTTTTGCTTATATCAAAGTAGTCATGTTTAACTCCCTTTAAAATAAAACAATTTATTTCTGATACTCATTTTTAATCATATATTTATATAATAAAATATTTTATACGTAAATGCTAAATTTTTTCTCACTTTTTAACCACAAATTTTCCAAAAAATCACTATTCAAAACATTATTTTTACAAAATAATGACCATCAAATAGGAGGTGAAACTTAACATGTCCAATCTAATTGATTAATCTATTTTTAATTCCTTGAATAACTTTTTATTAATTAAATTGTGTGAATACGATAATTTTATATTACAAACGTATTTTAAGGAAAAAGATGGTAATTTTTGATCCATTTGACAAGATTTTTGCTTCTACATCTCACAGAAGAAATTTTTGAGACAACTACTTCAATTAGTTTTAAAAATTATTTTCTAAAAAATCGATCTTTGGAAGAACTTTTAGAAGAAGCTGTATCGAGAAAGTTTCCTCTAAAAAAATTTATAACTAGAAAGAGCACTTTATAAAATTAAATAAAAGGGTCTAAAAATAATTTTTGAGTCAAAAATTTCTTTCGACTTCTCAAAAGCAATACCAAACGGATCCTTTATATAAAATACGAGAAGCGGTAAATGCGGATTTGGAAAGTGAAGGGCGTGTGGAGTAATTTTCCCCGATTAAAACCCGATGGAAGCCCAATTCTGGTTTTCTTTTCTCTTAAGCAATGTAAAGCCCAATTAAAGGCCTATCTGCATTTTTAATCCACAATATCCAATTATATAACTTGCAAACACGCCCTCGTTGATACGGAAAACAGAGGAGACAAGAGGCTCCGCGCGTTTCCCCTCGACACCAATTCATCTTGCGGTGCAGTGATTTCTTCTCAACTTCTTCATCACCAAAATTGGAAGGTAGTTTTAGATTTGTTTGTGTATAACGGGCTTTATCGTTTAATTTCGCACTTGATCTGTTTGTTGTGAATGATTTAATTTCAATACAATCTCGATCTAAGATTCCGTCCAACCTTATCGCCAATCTCATCTTCTAGCTCCTTGGATTTTCTGATTTTTTCATTGCCTTTAGAACCGGCAGCCCCTCAAGTGTAATCGGTGAAATACCCAGTACCAAAATCAAGTGGCGCATAGGATTTGATCACTTTTCAATCATCAAAACAATACTATCAAACCTTTTTCTTACAAATTTTCGAGTTTTCGAATTTCCTTCTTCATTTCTGCCTCCAGAGCTACATAATTTTGTGTCTTCATTATAATCATATTAATTTATGCAATTTTTGTTTGTGATTGGAGTATGAAGTAGGATGTAAGTTTTGATTCAGGTTATCCGAGTTTCAAGTTTATGTAATGTTAAAATTGGGGCTTTGATTGTTGAATTTATATACATGAGGAGGAACTGGTGGAGTTTGTATGAATTCGTCGTTGAAGAATGATCTCATCATTAAAAATCGTTTTATACCCACTCCTGTAATGTGCATTGGGCTTTTTTGACTTCAGCAATTTTGGGTACTAAGTGAATGCTTGTTGTCTTCAGATGGCATCACTACAAGGAAGTTTGACTAAATTCAAGAAACAGCAAGAGAAGTGCCAATCAACTCTTACTAGTATTGCAGCTAAATCAGGATCTTTAAAATCCACACCCTCAAGCACGTCATCTTCAGCGAATGCAAAGTCTCCAGCTCCTGTTAAATTCTCAAATGATACAGAACGGCTTCAACATATAAACAGCATTAGGAAAGCTCCTGTCGGGGCTCAAATCAAACGCGTTATTCATTTACTTTTTGAGGTACAGGCATCCGTGTTTTCTTTTTTGTATACCATTTGCCTTTCAGAGTAAAATTCATGTTAATTGTTATTCTTCTTTCCCCTCTCTTTTTTGACAATGAAATTGATGAGTAGGTATGCTAATGTTCTGGCTGTGCTTTTGACATAGCTTGGTAAATGTATTAATGAGTCCCGGGATCTAAATACTAACTTCATGATCAGATTCAAATCTTCTTCAATAACATTACTGCATTATAAACGAAAAGGGTTTGATTGCACTAATCAGTTCTCCTAATTGAAGTACAATGGATTTAATTTTTGATGGACAAAAATCTTTTAGGCATTTAGGTCAATGCAGTTACAAGGTGGGTTTTATGTTTTGGCCATGTGGAACACTGTTTTTGTGTGTCAACAAATGCCCAGCCCTGTTAAATGATGTTAATTTCTACTATAGGATATTTGAGCGTAAACTCTCATATAATCATGAAATATTTGTTTTATGGTTTCAACATAAGTCCCGAATAAACAAAATATTAGTTAGTTTAAAAAATTGTTGTTTCGAACATTGAGATGGATTAGAGGAAGCATCTCAATATATTGATATGAAACCATGTTTGGTTGAATGATTCATTCTGCTTCGTACCTAACTGCAATTCTTTCTGATTCTTTGTGATTATAGGTATCATTATGATTTATTTGCTATTATAATCTGGGCACAACAGCTATCCATTGAGCAGTCCCTGATTTATTGAACTATCTTGTTTCCAGACGAGGCAAGCCTTGACGCCCGAGCAAATAAATGAGGCATGCTATGTGGATACAAATGCTAACAAAGCTGTCTTTGACAGTTTAAGAAACAATCCAAAAGTGAGCTATGACGGGAAGCGATTCTCTTACAAGGTATTTCTACTAGCTTCTAGTCCATTTTGCTGTCAAATCTCTCTCTTTCTTTGTAAACCCTTTTCTTCTAGGATAATCACTTCAATAATTTGCTTGCAGTCTAAACATGATTTGAAAGATAAGAACCAGCTTCTTGTCTTGATACGAAAATTTCCTGAGGGTATTGCTGTTATTGATCTCAAGGATTCATATTCCAATGTCATGGAAGATTTACAGGTAATATGATTTTTCAAACAGTTGGCTGTGTTTCAATGGAATTAGCGCAAATAGATGTGAACTTATCCTTGCAACAAGTTAAAACACGCACAGGGACGAGGAGTGGGGGCACACGCACAGATGTTGTCATATCTCTCTTTTTTACTAAGTAGTGTAGGGAAGAAAAAGAAGCTAATATCTTGTCATCGTATTCTTTAATCCTGTTCAGTGTACCAAATATGGTCCAAAATCTCTGTTCCATAACAAATTATAGAAATGCCTCGTGAGATCACTGAATATTACAGAGACGACTCGTCTCGTTTTAAAAAATTACCCCTCTCCTGAGGGTTTTTTCTATAACAATACCTCCCTATAAATCAAAATCATGCATGTATTTCAATTTTACCCCTTTGCTTCTTACCATAAAATATAATTAAAATACAAAAATAAAATCTTAAGATAGAAGAAATACAATAAATCCTTAAATAACTGTTTCAAGCTTAACACGAAGCATAAGGGTAAAAGTGGAAATGTGTATTTTATTTTTTCCTTACAGAGGGAACTTATAGAAAATAAACTCTAGGTGAAGTTTATATAATTTTTGAAACGAGAGGGGGGTGTCTATGTAGTATTGACTAATATCAAGAGGTGTCTCTGTAATTCACTATTCATTCTATGATATCTTGACCTTTGATAATTATTTTCTTGTGTCTTTGCGTAGTCTTTGAAAGCTTCTGGCCAAATTTGGCTGCTATCGAACTTTGACTCACAGGAGGATATAGCATATCCCAATGATCCCCGAGCAGTTATTAAAGTTGATGATGATCTGAAACAATTATTCCGGGGGATTGAACTCCCACGTGATATGATTGACATTGAAAAAGATCTTCAAAAAAATGGAATGAAGCCGGCTACAAACACGGCCAAGAGGAGGGCCAAGGCACAGGTCCATGGCATTACGCCCAAGCCCAAGACGAAGAAGAAGAAGCACGAAATCAGCAAAAGGACCAAACTTACCAATGCCCATCTTCCGGAACTCTTCAAGCACCTCAACGTCCCTGGCTCTTGATACTGGATCGAGGTATAGGATTTACAGTGTGCATATTGTTGGGATACTGTTAATGTGATGAGTTCTTGATATCTTTATCCTGAACGAGTGATCCACGTCTCTCTTTTCGATGTTCAACTACTTTGATATGGTAAAATGCACATCCTACGTGTTTAGATCGCGAGGCAAGGCTCACCAGATGTATGACGTTGTTGCATTGGAAGAACTTGTTTTGAGTTTCCTGGGTACTATGAATTGATTCAATTGTGTAACCAGTTCCCTTTTCTGGAGAATGTGTTTTGTACATTATTTTTCCGACAGCTGTCTGACATTAATTAGCATTATATCCCTTAAACATGTTTTTTATAGTCCCATATAACTTTGATAGTATCATGCGCTTGGATACTCATTCAATCTTTTGGCGGGCAAACGGTATTTATGAAATGCTGGTTTTGATCGTTCTCTCGATATTTCGTTGTCGAAATCAAATAGTTCTTAATTGAACGTTTCCATCAAGCTGCATCAGTCACCAATGAGTAAAATGGGGTTTCAAAGAATTCGGGTCTATTTGTTACAAGCTCTTCAAGTACATCTTGATATCGACTTGTAAGGAGATGATGCTCGATATGCTTATAAAGTAAATGGTATGGGAGATGTATCGAAGTCGTACCTTCATAACATTTTTGTTAAATACGAGACATAATTTTTTCATAGAAAAAGCATTTCCTATTTTCTTAGACTGAAAATCAGAAATGCTACATAAGATAAGACTACCCGATTGAAAATACGTTTAACAAAATGACATATTTTTCCATTAATTCAATAAAAACCCTGTCACTTAATCTGGTCAATAATTTCAGCAATGACATTGTCCATGTCCAGTTCCTTCATGGGTTTAAAGGGCCTTTTCATATCCAACAAACTGACGAAAATACCCCCACTATCTGCACGAATTTCAAAGCAACCCCTCCTGGGCTTCTCAGGGTTGACCACCACGTTGACTCCCACCACCCCTTTTTCCAACCCATTTTCACCTGAATAGCCCGAGTCTTGAACGAGTTGCACTGCTTGCAGTGTTCAATGATGATAGTCTTCCATCCTTCCTCCGCTACCACTGCAGCGGCCCGAGGTTCGGATTCTTCTGGTGGTGCTTCGATTGTTTGTTCGGTGATGGTTTTGGCCTTCTTTTTCTTGGGTAGGTCAGGCTCAAAAGCAGGTGATGGTGGTCGTTTGGTGGTGTTGGCTAGGCGAGTGGACCTCCGGGTCACCCCTGTTGTGGCGAAGGTGTCGTTGGTATCAATTCTTCGTTTCTTGGGTGCCATTGAAAATCAAACTTTTTCACTGTTGAAATTGGAACTGACTAGTATGTGACCGCTCAGCTTTTTTATGGACGACGATTTGTTTACTGCTGGTCATGACTTGATCTGGTTCATTTAGTGTTATTTCTCCCGCGTCTTTGGACGGTCAGATCAAGATTATGCCCCTCTGGGTTTTTGTAATGAAATATTGTATTTAAACATTTTTCTGTCATTTTTCATTACATATTTAGCCCCGTAAAAATTAAAATCAGATTTTTTAATAAATTTTGATAAAAATTGTGGTTGAAAAATTATAAATCCTATGAAATGTATGATTAAAATTAATTGTTTATTTTAACTTAAAATTTTAATCAAAATTTTTAAAGGTACCCAACAAGGGCTTATTGTACACAAGATTTTAATTCTTATATAAAATAATAATAATAATTTAATTTAGCAACTAAAGGCTTAGTATCTTGCAAGTGCTAAGCTAAGCTACACAAGATGGAACAACCAACTTGCAAAAGACTATTTCAAGCTTCAAATTCAATATATCGAACGAATCTCAACATAGATGATCGTGTTTTTTCGTGTTAAAATGTCATGGATTCAAATCTTGAATTCTTCTTTAGAAAAAAAGAACGTTGATTTTGACATTCATAGGAGTTATGACTAACGCTTTACACAATTGACAAGATACAGATGCATATTTCTCATCAGCAGACATTCTAGGGTCAGCAATTTTAATTTAAATTCTACTCACACTAAACATAGGAGATGGTAACAATGTCGATCGTTCTCAAGAAGCCCGCAGACGGATCCCTTTTTTTTACACTTTAGAGTGGCTCCTGGCAGCATTTCGTCTTGCGCAGCATCCCACAAAGTAGATAATCGACTGAAAGAACATAAAATTGGTAAGAAATGAGGTAAAAAAAAATTAAAAAAGATGGGATGGAGCATTGAATTCAAATAGATGCAGAAGGCATAATATACAAGAGAGACGTAATACATCGGAATTTTCATGGGTCGGCATTTGGCCTATATCCTTGTACGAGAACTTCATTAAACAACAGTGAATAACCGAAAAGAGTAACATATACATGCGCACAATGTACATATATTGAATCCCCCACAATGTAACCAATTGACTCTATCGAGGATTTCAAAATCACAAGATAGTCCATGAGCATCTCATAAATTGGGATACTCCAAAATAATGAGAAGCTCCTATATAAACACTGCTTCTAATTTCTACTCGACGGAGGATTCAAACTAAATCTTATTATGTGCAGGAAAATATAAGACCAATCCTTGTGCTATTTAGGATTGTCTTCAAAGCAACAAAACAACATCTTACATCAACATTAACAAACAAGAAAGAGCATCTCCAAACGACTCTTTAAAAGTGAAATGCTCTTTACTTAAAAAGTCAATCTTGAAATTATGCTCTAAAAGACTCTTCAAATTAATATTTTAAAATAAAGAGTGGCGTGCATTCAAAGTATTTCAATTCTTCATATATTGTCCCAACTAAATAGGGAAGTCGGTGAAAATAAAAGATAAAGAAAAATAATAAATATGCATTGGGAGTAATAAAATTAATTATTAGAGAGAACGAGGCTTTTGGAGTATTTAAAAATTTTTACTCTAAATTGTAGATACTCCATAAATTTCAAAATATACTTTTTGAAAATAGAGAATCTCTTCGACATGTTTCTATTCATATAAACAGATTGTGACATCATTCTATGTAGTAGTAGGGCAAATGTCACATTGTCCAATGAAATTGGAATGCATTTTTTCTTGTTAAACAATGTGACAGTGACCCAACTACCCATATATGATGATGATTATCATCACTTTAGATGAATGGCATTATTCTTAACAAATTATGCCTTACGCCGACCATGAAATTTAAAATTCCATGCTATGATCTTCTGATGATGTGTGCAAGGGAGGATATTGAGAGAGGGTGCTTTACCAAGACAACAAAGAGAACAACATTAAAAATTGCAACCACCCGCCATTCAGTTTTCATGTATTGTGCGACTCCAGCCCTGGGTAACAATGTTAAAGAAACAGACTCAGCAGTAAGAATTATAGAAAAACTGACATAAAGAGGGCAACTGATGTTTACTTGCAGGAATCACAATTGTAGCACTTGACAGCCTTTGCGTTTTTGTAAAGTTTGCAATCCTTGTTGGAACTTATAGGACGAAAGCTCAAGTCATAGAATGAGGCATTCACAACAGGATAACCACACCTAATATTATTAAAATGTTAGGGATGAACCACTAATCCCAATTAGGAGAGCTATATAAAGCAAACCGAAATAAGAAACACACATCGTTGTAGTTCACCCTCGATGTGAGTCAGAGCTTGAGGGTATCACTACGAAACAAAAAAATTATCATGGTGACTCATGCCCTCAATACGTGTTTCTACTAAAACAACTCTCTAAATAATTCTTTATATGGATGAAATATTTGGGTGATCTAATAAATGTGTAATGCCCAATATACCCCTAAAACCCAAAATACACCAAAAAGATGAACTATAATCATCAAATGGATTAAATCAGTTAATTAATAGTTTCCTTGCATTATGGTACATATTTGGGTAACTACATGTAAGAAATGCATGTATGAGCAGGTTTGCCTAAGATTAAAATGTTTACCTAGACGTAAAAAAGTTATTTAATGGAGTAAGAGTTACTTTCACAATAAATAACGTATTTATAACATAACCAAACATGATTGGAAATACTTTTTGACAATTAGCCAAACACAGGACATTGTGAAAGGCAAGAAGACAGTTATTATTAAAGGAATCATATGAAAAGTACAAGGCACCTACTCAGATGGTGGTCGACAGCAACCAGCTTCTATTGGGCTTAGTTTTGCGGATTCGAATTGCTTCAGAGTCTGCAGTAAACATGCAAAAATGTTAGACATATTCATTTCTAAAAAGAACAGAAAGGACGATGAATGCATTTGCAGACCTTATATTTTCTTGACAGGTTATTGCAATCATCAGATTTGACAAGACAACTCTTTAGGTGATTCCAGTTATGGGAATTATTAAGCTGAAAAATAAGGGCAAATGATAAAGAAAGACGATTTTCATGTCGATATTCTAAATTGTTGAGTGTAAAAAGGGATGCTTACATGTTTGAGAAACCATGAGCTGTAATCTTGCAGTTGATATTCTTTATACCTGAGCAGAAAAAAATAATAAATTGCTTGCATTGAACCAAGCCAAAAGCCGTGAATAGAGATTATCATGGGCTAAAGGAAGATAATTTTCTTGAAATTCATGTGCACCATTCCCACTAAAACATAAATCATACATCAGTCTCAAGGGGGACAATTTCTATATAAACACCTAAAGGTTGGTTACATGAATAATTTTTCGTTATTCCTTATTTAGTGAAAGATCCAAAGAAATCAATGATGAACCACCTCATTTAAAAACTTAAGGTGCCGTTCTCTTTGGCTGTTTTGGGTCGTTTTCTGTTTTTCAAAACAACAAATTTGACAGGTTATTGCAATCATCAGACTTGACAAGACAACTCTTTAGGTGATTCCAGTTATGGGAATTATTAAGCTGAAAAATAAGGGCAAATGATAAAGAAAGACGATTTTCATGTTGATATTCTAAATTGTTGAGTGCAAAAACGGATGCTTACTTGTTTGAGAAACCATGAGCTGTAATCTTGCAGTTGATATTCTTTATACCTGAGCAGAAAAAAAATAATAAACTGCTTGCATTTAACCAAGCCAAAAGCCGTGAATAGAGATTATCATGGGCTAAAGGAAGATAATTTTCTTGAAATTCATGTGCACCATTCCCACTAAAACATAAATCATACATCAGTCTCAAGGGGGACAATTTCTATGTAAACACCTAAAGGTTGGTTACGTGAATAATTTTTCGTTATTCCTTATTTAGTGAAAGATCCAAAGAAATCAATGATGAACCACCTCATTTAAAAACTTAAGTTGTTAGAGAAGGAAAAAATATATTTATCAATATTATGCCTTCTACATGCTCCATTTCTAACCACACCAGGCCACGTTAATTTAAGTCTACCTCCCCCTTTTCTAATCTGTTCTATTGGGATCGAATCACTCTTGTGAAAGGGGCTTCTTCAGGTACATATAAGACATGCTTCAACTACCTAATTTGTCCTTCTGTCAATATAGCCTTACGGGCATTTCGTCTTTTAACGGGCCAACAGTTGGACCATCAAGAACAACTTCTATATTACAAGCAAAATTCAACTCTTTCTTTTTTTGGTGGGGGATTGGGGGGAGGGTGGTGAGAGAGAGGGGAAAAGTGTGTGAGGAGGTAATGATGCTCGTATGCCTATAAAATGTGAAACAAAAATGAAATAGAAAAGTAATTATAGGTGGTCTTACCTCAAACCAGTTACGCTATGACCAGAGCCATTATTTGTTATAATAAACCTGAAAAGGAGAAGACAAGACGATGTAGTGATAAAATGCATACACTACACAAACCCCTTTGAATGAACTATAATAATAATGTTGAAATAAAAATTGGAATTTAGTACGTGAATTTCGCTTATAATTGATGCTCGATCAATAGAATCTTTTCTGGAAAAAAGATTTGTGTAATATTAGAGCAAATATCATTGTTAATAATGGGTGGCACTTTGTCAAGTAACAGAGCAAGAGATGTTAGTTGATGGTAGACTTGTGAGTTGTGAATGAAGAAAGATTCTTGGATTTAGGATGGACAGACCAACATTATGGTTTGAGGATAATACGAGCTTGTCAACTCTAAGAGATTTTAACGAACAATTTAAAATTATAAAAAACTAATACACGTGCAATCCGTATTATGCATTAACCATTATGATAAAGATCTTTATTTCAATGATTGAATCTTCTTAAAAGACTAGATCATTAGTACCCATATCTATTTCCTCTATTGCAAAGCATTAAAGTTAAGGTTTAATGAGTTATCCAGCATGAAATGCAGTTAGTAACTAAAGTTAG